ACATTATCTATGAATACTGATTCAAATGAACAATTGAACCTCTTGTGATATTCCCCATGTTGATGAGAAGAGACGGCTGTGTTTATGTCAGGTTTCTGATTGACGGCATTTTTTCTTAAATTGTTTTAGGTTAATAGATGTTGTCTTTCATCCCTAACAAGAAGCTAATTTAAATTAAGTACTTCCAAGTTTTCAAAACAATAAAAAAAACTAATTCAGCCAAGTGTGTCACAACGTTTAATACCACCATGCAATATTTTCATAATCCTCTGTTACTCATTTCTCTATTCACACTGCAGAACTTCCACACAAACAAGTCATGACTCGTGAGCATGCTCATCTATGGAAACGTTTTTATCTTTCTTTACTCATTGTCACATCAATCAGCTAGCTGGCATTATAGTCACAAACAAGACCTCTTCACCTCTTATCAGACTAGATATACATGATAACACCGCTCCAGGCTGGAACGATACTGAACTGTATAACTGAGGGGAAAAAGACAGAATAAAGTTATGTTTCTTCCATTTATGGTTCTGCCAATATTACAGCCAACAATAAGTGCCGAGATTTCCATCGAGTACCTGAGGCTGGTGAGGAATAAATCACTGGATAGGGGAAAATGGAGTGGAATATAGAGGGAGAAAAGCCAGACAAAAAGTCCAGATATAATATTACAAATTATATTGAATGAATTAATTATGCATTTATATAGCGCTTTTTAATGTGTATTGCTGTACACCCAAAGCGCTTTACAATAATGTGGGGAGTGGGTCTCTCCTCAACTACCACCAGTGTGCAGCATCTACCTGGATGATGCGACGGCAGCTGGATAGGGGAAAATGGAGTGGAATATAGAGGGAGAAAAGCCAGAAAAAAAGTCCAGATATAATATTACAAATTATATTGAATGAATTAATTATGCATTTATATAGCGCTTTTTAATGTGTATTGCTGTACACCCAAAGCGCTTTACAATAATGTGGGGAGTGGGTCTCTCCTCAACTACCACCAGTGTGCAGCATCTACCTGGATGATGCGACGGCACCCACAGGACAATGGCGCCACTGCGCTCACCACACACCAGCTACAGGTGGAGAGGAGAGAGAGAGTCATAGAGCCAATCAAGTGGATGGGGATTATTAGGAGACCATGATTGACAAGGGCCAGTGGCGGCAATTTGGCCAAAACACCGGGGTTGCACCCCTACTCTTTATGAGAAGTTCCATGGGATTTTTAATGACCACAGAGAGTCAGGACCTCGGTTTAACGTATCATCCGAAGGAAGGATTCACCACAGATTTATGAAACTTTAGAGATAGTCAGAGAACTGTTCTGAAATGACTGAAGGTACATACACTGTAGGCCTTTAAATATACTTCACAAGGGTTAAATGAGGTGTGGGAATATCCCAAGATAACTTTTGAAAGTTCTAGGGCTGCTCTGAGATGAACGAACTGAAGTTTCAGCTTTTTAGCTCACCGGGAAGGCATTGTGGGCCACCAAATATGTATTTTCAGATACCTTTACAAAGGCTCAATTAAGTGTTGAATAACTGGCTCTGAGATGTATGTATGCAAAATGCAGCCTCCTAGATTGCTTCAAAAAAATCCAAAGTCAAAGCATACTTGCACTTAATCATAAGGTGTACACTTTATCACAATGGCGAAGCCTTCTACACTGTAAACCCGAACAGTACTACTAACTTATAAAGATTAAGAACACTGCAATTAAAGTCTGTTAAATCGTTAATGCAACTTATAACAATTACATTTTCTGAACGAGGAATTTAGTTTTATTTTTGTGTGGCTCAACAGTTTTGAGTAAACTCTTCTATTTAAATTATTATTTTTAAGTTTACTGAGTGACGTAACGTGACGTCACCTCGTTGCTCTAACCGACGTTCAGAAGAATCCATTCAACATGGCGGATAATCGCAAGCGACCGGCATAAACTTAATGAAACAACTTGTAAGTAAATCAAAACAACTGTGACAATTTCTTATTTGCTTTTTGAGTGTTGTAAGAATATCACGATAAAGGAATGTTTTCATTTTTGGGAAACATTGTTTTTACACAGCGCTGTAAAGCGCTGCATTTCCCTAGTGCTTTTGAATGCGCATTTTCAATGCTATTTTAGCATCACTGCTTATAGTATAATGTTAACGTCAAAGAAGGGCACTAATGTTAACGTTAGCCGGCATTTTTTCAGTAAACGCAGTCCTAACATACATTTTAAATGTCGCTGCTGTTAACTGCAATGTTTAGGGCTGCGTTTCTCAAAAGCATTGTGAGCTAACGTTAAGTCGATTGTTGAGACCATTTGGTGGCAAAGGTTTCTACGATCATCTTAGCCATACAATGCTTTTTTTGGGAAATACCCTGGTAAATGTGATTTTTATTTGGTCTGTTTTTAAACAATTAGCTGCTAAGATTATTAATTTAAATTTAGGTTAAAGCTAATACACAGACATGAATTTTGCAATATATTCAATTTACAAAAGCAATCTACAAACTTTCTTTAATTGCAGGCTGAGCTGGATGACGAATACAAAAGAGTGAGCCTCAACACTTAAGGTAACTTCTATTGTTGAAGAGCAAGTTGTGATGTGTCCTCACATAACAGGACACAGACTCGGCTTTCTCTTTTCTACATCATTGTTGGTTATACACTTGTGCATGTTTGTGGTTTTATAGGTTTGTGCTGAGTTTCACCATATCAGAGAAAGTGGCACACACCAGCAAGATTTCACAGATGCTGCATGACATTCTAAATGTTTGATCTTCAGGTGAGTGCAAATTCACAAACACTAACTACCTCCATCACTGTCTTCATTGTATATAAAAAAAAGTTGGCCTGCTTGTTTAACATGCATTCCCAGTGTACGTATGTGAGGAGAACTGTTATTCAGGACATGAAATGTAAGTATTAAGTGCATTAATAGATCTGAAATAGAGTGGGGGAACTATGACGTCAGAACCAGGAAGTGTAATTCGCCGCGGGTTCTTTTGAGATTTTCCTATAGGGTTTTTCAATTTATGAATAAAATAAAGCCTGTGGTAAA